AAAGCAGCTAATGTCTTCTTTTTAACCAAATATCTCTCAGAGGGGCGTGGGGAGTGGCTCCTTATTTTCATCTAAAGTAACAGACAGAGAATCAGCACTTTTGAAACAGGGCTGAAACAGAGGGGATTAGGGATGCTCCGATCGCCAATTTTGGGGCCGATCGCCGGAATCAGTATCGGCCGATACCGATCGCCGATCCGATCAAGTGGGCGGGGCCTAAATGGAAGATTTAAACATCACTTTAAATCTTTCATTTAAAGTGATGTTTAAAACTCAGTTAATGGGGCTCATTCACTGGAGCTTCCACAAACAACAATCAACTTAATTATTACATTCAAATGATGTACATTATTCAAGTTTACATTCACTTTGGATAATAACACGGGAGAAATGAGCGGTCTCTCTCTTTTCCTCTCTCCCTCTCTCTCTCCCTCTCTCTCTCCCCTTCTCTCTCCCCCTCTCTCCCTCTCCTGACAGCTCGTCAGTATCGTCTCATGCAGCTCACTGATCCAGTAATGAGTGACCCTACAGTGAAGAATAAATATATGTATAACTAGTTTAGCTTGTTCCAGAGGTAGATAAGATAGCTAAGTGTGTTAGGTCTAACTCTTAGTGTGTGTTGCTCCGCTCACCGGTCCGTCACAGCGTGCGGAGCTGCAGGATTTCTGCTTCACACACACGTTGCATACCGCTATTTTACTGTCTTTTTCGGACACCTTAAAATAATGCCAGACCGGTGAAGCCATTTTGGCGAGCTTGTTTTGCCGCGCACAGAGAAAAGTGTCATGTATTTTACGTCATGCGATCGGCTCTCGCGATCGGCATGTTTAGAGAGCACCGATCGATCGGTAGAGAGTGAATATCGGCCGATCTCGATCGGTGACCGATCAATCGGAGCATCCCTAGAGGGGATTATGGGATGCTACAATGATCTGTTTGGTATTTGGAGCCAAACACTTCAGAGACATGTTTTGTATATATCTGAGACCTATAATATATCGATGAAAAACAGTATAATAGGGGACCTTTAAAACTGAAGAGACAGACAGGTTGCTCGAGCCACTGGTTAGTATAATGAAGTTCACTGTAACGTTGTTTTATGCACGTGTTTGGTCCTTTGCTGGATATTCATAACACTTTCTAATCCTCTAAGGGCGGGACAATACAGAAGCAAGGATGTACAAAGAGAAATGGATACACCATTGGACGTGGGACCTCGGATCTTGGGCAATAGAAAGTGAACATTTGTGTTTTGCTTAAGCCCCGCCTCCAATCTGCAGCATCATGGCCAATCGCGAGTCTATCAAATGAATGGAGAGGGCAAATAACTCTCGATTCAGCTTTTAGTAAAGTGTTTGTACTGGGCAGTTGATTTAGTTTACAAAAATAATATCTGCTGATATTTGTCCCGAAAATGACCTAACGGAAGTTGTAGTACCAACGTCCGGCCACCAATAAAATTTGCTTCAACGTCCTGCGAACTTTCTGCAATAGTAAGATGGTTTTCCGACTGGAGGATTGGTGACACCTACTGATTATCTTGACGAACTTATATAAAAGTCCAGTGTTACTTTGAACACTTTATTACTGTCGATATGTTCACAGGAGCAATTTGGGGTTAAGTATATTGCCCATAGACACTTAGACATGTTGACTAAGGATCAGACGCTAACCCTCAAAGTGAAGGAGGCCTATTTTTTCCAGGGTCACAGCTCCTTAGTGTACAATAAAATAAAATGTTATTAATACATATAACTACATGGAACTATCTGCACATACAGTGGTAGATGCCCTATGTGCTAAGCGCTAACCAATGGTTTCATACTTTTTAGTATCTTAAAAATGTGAAGCCCCCCAACTGGTACAGATGGTGTAATGTAAAGTATATGTATTTTACACTGTAAGCCAGGGGTCCTTGCCCACAGGATGAGAACTACTGAATTAAAGCACTTTTAGACAGTACAACAACAACAACAATCTTTTACTAATCATGCACGTCTCTTTATGTGAGTTGGGTCTAATGAAATACTGTACAATATCAATTTGAGGCATGTTGAAGATAGTTTGATGAATGTGTGGTGTATTGCGGCGCTGCGATGTAAATAGTAAAATGTTTATGAGCGCAGAGGCATGTCATCAGCTCACTCCATCAATCTGCACCACCCTAAAGCTGCAGCAAAACAATAAACAAGCTCTGGAAATATAGGGCTAACGCTTTATGCAGTGAAAAACCTCAGACAGCGCTGAGAAGTAGAGCGTGGGGAGAATTTTCTTTTCCCAAACTTTATTCAAAAAATGGCGCTTGCAGTCATATATTTTTTAGCATTATTCTAAAGTGGAAACGGGATGGCACAATTATTTCCCATCTGAAAATACCTGGCAAAAACTCACTTTCAAATGTTTTCTTTCTATATGTGTATTCACTTTCACTTTCAACACAGGAATTGTAGCCTTTGCAGACCATTTACATGCACTAAAACCTATAACACACTACAGGCAAAACCCAAAATAAACAAGAGGGCCTATTTAACAAGTACGTATTTTGTCTTGTTTTGTTTACTTTGTCTATTTAGTCACACATATTTGATGTTTTTTAGACAACACACACACTTGTCTGACTATTCTGATTCTCCTCACAATAATAACAACACCTCCTTAAACTCTGTGGTTTGCTCTTTACATATGCAACACCTTTTTCCTGTGATTTATTGCTACGTTTGGTTCAATCATCCCTGTGGGTGTTTGTGCTTTTGCTCTTCCCAGAATTACCCTGTCAATCAAACTGCGTGGTTAGTACTCTGACGTCTTTCACCTCACATTTTCTCTGGGTGGCACGCTTTGCTGACAACCGTGATGACTTGGTAACTGCCCAGTGTGTTTACTGTGTCTTTTCTTGTTTTCAGATGAACTTTGCTACATGAGATAAATCTTCCACTGAGGATTTCCCCAAGCTTTATAACTCAGGGGGGGGGGGGTTAGTATTAGCAAATATTTCATAAGCTTTTGCAATGTGAAACATCAGATTTGTTAAACCTGCAGACAGAGGTCAAAACAATGAGCATTATTGCTCTAATTCCTGGAAATGCAGCTTCCAGCTTCAGTCTTTTCACTTAAAGAGGTCGTATTATGCTTATGGGGGTGTTCCCTGTCCTTTAAAGTGGTATATAACTTTTAGTGCATGTAAACGGTCTCCAGTGCAAACACTAAAATCCCCAGCCCGGCTGAAACGCCTCAATTGAACTCCTTTGTTTACACTACGTTACACTCACGCTTCTATTGGCTAGCGCATCAACACATTGTATGTGAAACTCTAAGGGGCGGGACATCTCTAAGCAGTTGACCAATCACAACAGAACCGGCCAGCTAACCAATCAGAGCAGACTGGGCTCTGGTTTCAGACAGAGGGTGAAAAGAGGTGCTGCAGCACAGGCAGTATGATAAAAATAAAGAGCTTTGTGAACATTAAAGCATGGAGACATGTCACAGTCGAGACACTAGATACAAGAACCTAAAAAAGAGCATAATATGTCCTAGCCAATGATATGTCAGTTAAGGGACCTGTTTTTCATTATTAAGCTTTATGAAAAGTGTTTTTCTTTATGCTTCTGTGCATATGGAGCAGCAGGTCTGGCTGTTGTCTGCGGCGCTCAGCAGAAGTTGTTCTTGGCAGGATATTATTTCGAGGGAGAGCTCTCCGCTGTAGTTGGAGGATAAATCCAGGTAAACCGTTGGTATGCTGCGCGATAAATCTCTGTGGCGTGTAGCCTTGCCAGAGGGCACACACTCAGACCGGGGTTCACAACAACAGCAGAGAGAGAGAGAGAGAGAGACTCGCTGTCAGGAGGCTCGGGCTGAGGTTTCCTAATTTCATATGTGAGAGTGTTTAGTGATTCTGTCCCTTCGTAATGACTGTTTTTGTTTCTGAGGTGATAAATGTGCTCTGGACCTCCCCTCAGCTGGAGTCAGGCTCACTCCTCACCCCGCTGATTTATACACTGAGGAGCTGCCCTGAGGGAGTCTGTACAGTGTGTGTGTGTGTGTGTGTGTGTGTGTGTGTGTGTGTGTGTGTGTGGTATGAGTATACTATAGAGCACAAGTGAAAACAGGGCTGAAGCAGTTAAAACATTTTAATTATCTAAATGTTCATGAACAGGTGTAAGAGGATCAGGCTAAGTGACTCTCAGGACCAATTTTTACCACTTGTAATTTGTATTAAGAGTTGGCCTATTTCAAAAATCATCTTACCATCATTACCAAATATTTTTTGCAAATTGAGAGGCAGAAGAGAAAAAAAGTACTAAGGAAAATGAAATCTACAAACACTCATGTCACATGGCCCAAGCATCTGTATGAATGCAAACTTGTGCAAGTACAACAGACTATAAGACAAGGGCGACATCTTGTGGTTAGAGTTCTTCATTTTCTAAGATAAACCAAAAATTGTTGAGTAATTTCATATTTGATCAAAAATCCCTATAGATTTTTGTTCTACCTTGCCTTTATTGTTAATTTAAGAAGATGCAGGCTTTTCAGGTATTTATTTTCAGTTAATGCTATTGGTGGTCGGTAAAGGACAAAAATGATAAGTGGTAAAACCATAGACTGTACATATAAAGGGTAAAACACAAAAGGAAACATAGAAATGTACTAGGCCTACTGCTAATTGGACAATTGGATCCAATGGTTAAAATCCAAAGCAATATGTTCGTTATGACGCAACATATAGAACTGTATAATATTTGTTTTAATGCATCTCTGTATCAAATGTCAGCAGCCTGAGAGTTCCTACAATTATGAAACTTAGCACAGGGGGGGAAATAAATATAGCGTGAGATCCACTATTAATCCATCTTGTTTATTTGTTTTCCTTTCTAAATTGTATTCGTATATTATTCCTAGGAGAACGGCGCTGGATTGTTGTAATGAACAGTAGGGCCTACGTTTTTTTTTTATTCAGCGTAAACCGGAACTTTTGTCAAACAACCGGAACCTTCGAACGAAAGCTTCACTCGGGTTTGTTTATCGGTGACACCCCGGGAACAGCTGTTGGATCGGCTAACAGCTACAGCCAACATACCGGCTAACTGAACGTTTATCAACATTATATCACTGTTTTACGCCTTTTTACTCTACAGGTAAGTGCAACAGTAACTGCAATATACATATGTTATAGCTGGTTGGAATGTTAGTATAAAAAAAGGTAAACAACAGCTATCAAGCTAACATTAGCTAACTGGGAAAACAGCTAACGTTGGCTTTGTGAGTTTATTTAATGGTTTATGTTTAAATGAATGGCATGCTAGCTAAAATGTCCTGCAAGTTATGCAGGCATTTGAAAATAAAACATTATCGGATGAGTATGGACAGTGTAGAACACGATACAACATATTATCAACTGTCACTCTTCTATTCAACATATACAAACTACCGTTAACGTACACCAAACTACCGTCCGTTGCTACGTTTAAGGTTGCCGTTTTCTGACGATATTATGCACGTTTTTACCGAATTGAAATTATTTGTGTATGTCATGATACTGACAAATATCTCAAACTTTGTATTTAAGACTTTTAACTCAGGTTCTGTCAGAAATGTGATAATCTTCTTACCTTTAAACTGCACAGGTTGCTTGGAGACTGTTGCCATGGAGCCTGCCTGCCGTAAAGACAAGCAGAAGCTGAACTCCACCCCGACTAGAGGAGACCGAGCCAAGCAGAAATCTGCTCAGCAAGAGCTCAAACAGCGGCAGAGAGCAGAGGTAACTCCCAAATATGAACCTGCCATAGACTCTCTAGTGCTCTGCCAAATGTATTTTATGTCACATTACGTCTCGCTCCTGTGTAACCATCTGTGTCGACTGTCTTCCCTTCTTTATTTACAGATTTATGCCCTGAACAAAGTGATGACGGAGTTGGAACAGCAGCAGTTTGAGGCCTTTTGTAAACAGATGCAGACACAAGGAGAATGAGGCCTTACTCTTCACATGGACCAGAAGCTGTTACCATGCAAAACTACCATACTAATGTCATACAATCACACACATTAATGTTCAATTAGACAATCTTTGACCTCCTACTAACTCAAATTCTTGATTTTGTAACTTGGATACGCCAGAGACTATTAGTATAATCAACCGATCCGATTGTAGAAGGTGTTGAAGGTAAATGTGTCCAAAAGAAAACTCTGAAAATGTAAATTAAAGCTGCTTCTTTTCAAGACACATCAAGTCCACAACATTTCCTTTGCTTAAATATCAACGTATCTTAAATGTATCTACTGAGCGTCCTTTTTTATCAATACTTCTGATTTACATGCTTTGAGATTTTGAAGTAGAGCAGGTTAAACACAGAGTAGCTGTAAGTGAATTTACCCAGATGCAAATGTTATTAAGCTGGTTAGCGATCCTTTAGTTGAAAAGCACACCTGAAAACGAGCTTTGGTATCAGCCGTCAATCACTAGAGGTTATCCTCATTTGGAAATGCTTCATAAGCTTCTTGAAATAACAGTTTTTCCCTGAGAAACATCCAATGTGCTTCGGACTCCCAACAGCAGAACAATACCTTATTTTCAGTGAAATGTAAACATTGTTTAATGTAGCTTTAAAATACACGGTGCCCTTAGTATGCCAGTGTTAATGGTGCTCACTTTGAATCACTTTCTGTGAATGACATTGTATGCAGAGCCAAATGGCCTGTCCATGTTTCATTATTGCAATTTGAACTATTTATGTCTGATGACTGAAATGTGTATATTACTGACTGTATGTCTTCCACCTTCAATTGACTTTGGATTGAATGAGAATAAAAGTGTTTTTTTTAATTTGCTGCATGTCATATCTTATATGTATTTATAACTGGGCCCTGGGTCTTCACATGCAGTTTCTACTTATTCGGGCACATATAATCCTGTTCAATCACATCCAGCTGTGTGAGTTTTGAAGTTAATTCTGCATGCTGTTATCTCAACTGAAAATCTTGCTAATCTTTTATACATCCGAGCATTTCTTGGGTTCACAAAATCCATACCGCAGAACACACAACTACATTTTAGCCTGACACTTGGTATAAATCAAATAGTCATATGCTATTTTGAAAAACCCCTCATTCTATATATGTCTATTTCTGCATTGTTACTGGTACAGGCTGCCGATTCAAGATACTTTTGTACTTATAGTCACATTTTAAATATGATTTGCAAAGGAGTATACAGTATCAACAGTATTACTTATAAGTAGTCAAAGTATTTCTCCACCACATATTTTAATGTTGCGGCTGAGCTAACCGGAGCTAGTTGATCCACTTTAGATGAAGTCAGGCAGTTTAGTCTGGTGATAAACAACCTTTTACGTACTCAAGCTTAATAATTGAGCTGAAGTTGAGGTACTTGAACATTAATTGAGCATACAAGATTTCCCTCTAGTAAAATAAAATGGAAATCCTCAAGTACATGTATATAGAAATTGTATTAAGCATAGTACTTGAATATGAACGTACCCCTACATTACATTTAATTTAGCTGACGCTTTTATCCAAAGCGACTTACAATAAGTGCAAAAACTACAACTACTACTGCTGCTTGCAAGAAAGAAACAACAAGGAATACCAGTCTTCATTTCCTCAGCCCCACATTTTGAAACGTCTAAGGTCCGTTTTATTATAATTGAGGACAAACCGTGACCACACGTCAATCAATTTTACATCTACAGTCAAAATGCAATCATTATTGGGACAAACAAAAGGGTCTCTTAGTCGATAACATCTTAAAACTAACAGTCAAATTGACAAAACAGGCAATTATTTAGTTAAGATTTTATTTCAGAGTCCAATTTGAAATCGATATCTTGATCATTTACACCTCTATTCACCAAACACATGGTTTAGATTAACACTAAAGTAAGTCACTGTGCAGAGGTAGTAGTTACTGTAACAGACCATAATAATGTCTGTGTTGCAAGCAGTCATTTTAATATCTTAAAGTTAGTAAAGCTGCTGTTTTAGTTTGTTAGTGCAGTCTTCATAGCAGCAGTTTGTTTTAACAGCATTAAGAACGAGGTGTTAGCACAAGGCAAAGCTGGTCCTATTGAAACCTAGAAACCTCCCTGGAGTCCTTATATGACTCCAGTTCCCTGTCCTCCTTTACCTTCCAGTGTTATAACTACTTGGTTCCCTTCTCCTCTTTCACTTTCCCCCGTCCTTCAGACCTCCACAGTCACAGAGCTGCCAGTGACTCGGACTCCGAACCATCCGTCCCAGAACTTTGTGTCCTGTCCTCCGTGTTCGAAGGTGATGAAACGCAATCCAGGGCCGTACTCAGAGAACGTGTGGCTGACCTGGAGTTCAGAGTGAGAGAAAACACACTGTGATACAGACTTGTGTGTGGGGGAGAGAAAAACAGCAGCATCAGTCGCTTCAGCAAGTTCCAAAAAAACAACATGTTCCCGTGACAGATCCCTGTGATGGCAGAAATAAATAGTATGGCAGCAGCACAAATCCAGCACCAGACACTTTTTGTTATGCTGCTATGGACAGTCTAGCAGTAATGTACGTTCTCAAAGATATTGAAGTGACTGTTATTATACATATTTGCATACATATTTTTATATATATTTGTTTTTGTATTCGGGATTGTGGGAATATTTTGATCTCTGTCTGTACACACAAACTGAAAGATTGACAATAAAGTTGACTTTGACTTGACTTTGAAAGGAGGATATCAGTTGACGTTATAAAGTGACCAGAGGCCTGTACTACGAAGCCGGATTTTCCTAACCTGGATATGTTTGAGTTAGCCGGTTGGCCCAATCCAAAACATACGCGCTCTGGCTAAGCTGTACTACGACGCTGGTTATCAAGTGGATCGCTCAAGCCAGCCGTGTCCTATCTAGTTAGGTGCGCGTTCACATGGAAGGGGTGGTATTTGGAGCATTCGACCAATCTCAAACATGGACAAGCGTACTGACAGCGCAGCGTCATACTTCCTGAATGAAAAGTGAACTTTAATATTAGTCAAATATGAAGAACTTAAACTTTAAACATCCATGACTTAAACACTTTATCCAGGATAAAAGCCACATAGCTGCACCTGCAAGGTGAATACAGCTGGTAAAAGAAAAAGTGTTTGAATGCGTACATTAACAGGTTTATGAAATCACTGCCCCGTCCAAGACACGATCTGACTTTAATTAGGAGAATTTGACTCGAGTGTTTCGTCAACTTAATGTGTTGCTTAAAATAATACTTCTGCATACAGTATGTGACACTGTGAGTGTTGCACGGCCAGATACGGCTCAAGAAGCTGACTCAGATAAGGAAATATATGATACATTATGATGTGATATGATATGAATGATAATGGGACACATCGACGTCTGCACTCACAGGACTGTACTTAATGTTACTCTGATCCGGTTACTTATGTTGTGGCAGATATTTAAGTAAGCTTTCTTAACGCTAATATTATAATAGTCAGATTGCTCTGAAGATGGGAGGGGATATTCTATTAATGTTCACGTTCACACAGTCAGTTGATTTTGGCCGGCCGTCTTTCCTGCAACGGCAGTTTTTCTGTATTTCCTCTATCCTGTAATATGAATTGATCGCTTTAAACTCCGCACACGGAGCTCTGATTGGTCAGCAGGCGGTGCTTTCACTGAGTTGATCTCTTAGCCTGCCACCTAACCTGCTCCGGAGCAGGTTTGCCGCTCAGCATAAGTTACCATGGAGATCTAGCCTGCTAAAAAGAGAACCAGCGTCGTAGGACCGGAAAGTCCGAGATTTCCCTGAAGTTAGCCAGCTAAGCGAAAATCCAGCTTCGTAGTACAGGCCTCTGGTCCAATACAGGATGAGGTCAAGGTCGATGAGCAGATAAAACCTCTAATTTAACAAAAAATAATGCCCTAAATGCCCCTAAAATACTATACACTGGGTTTCTGTGGCAACGTTTCCTGGAAAAGACAAAACTGTTTGGATCTATAAAAAAGGTATCCAAAAACACAACCTCATTATATCTCATCGCAAGCTGTAGTGTTAGCAAACAGAGTCAATCGTCTTTTCTGATGAGTTTACAGCAGCTATGTGCAAATACAGACAACTCTATCCGGTTGAAATTCATGCACGACACATTTTATGACATGGCATTGTACTTATAGAATCATCCGAAAGAGACAGATGAATGAAATACAACTCTTCAGAATGAACATTACCATCGACAATGTGTTTCAAACTGAACTGTGAGTAATGATTGTGTCCCTCTGTGACCTTAGTTCCTCTGCTGTATACCAGAGATGGAAAGAGTACACATATCCTTTACTCAAGTAGAAGTACAGATATGTGTTTAAAAATACTCTGGTAAAAGTAGAAGTACTGACTAAACTTCTTTACTCAAGTAAAAGTAAAGAGGGCTTTGAAATGTACTTAAGTAAAAAGTACCCATAACTAGCAGCTGTTTTAAAGAGTACCTGACCTCCCTTTATATTAATAGAACAATAATGTCATTGTTAGCTAATGAATGTTTCCATGCTGAACAACGGCAACATGACAACGTTTTCATTGGTCCCTCTTCTTTAGAGAAGACCAGGAAATGATGGATACACGGATCGTGTTCAAATCAATAGGCACGCAATGACTCTAAATAATAATGATCACGCCACCAAACACACATTCAAACTAAAGGAACCAGCCTGTTTGGGAAATGTGAGAAGTAGAAAGTACAGGTATTTGGGTTCAAAATGTAAGAAGTAAAAGTAAAAAGTCGTCAGAAAAGTAAGTAGTGGAGTAAAGTACTGATACCAAATAAATGTACTTAAGTACAGTAACGAAGTATTTGTACTCCACTACTTCCCACCTCTGCTATACACTACAGATCCTCCTCCTCCCTGTGTACCTGTTTCCAGGAGCATTCGTCACTGTCGGGGTCATGGGTCACCGGATCAGGTTTGAACTGCTCGATGACCTCCTGGTTCTCATCCAGCAGAGTCACGGTCATCTGGTACGTGCAGCCGCAGTCCGACCTCCCACAGTACCTGCATTAAACACCCTGATTATCAGTGACTTAGTGTTGAGAAAATACTGAATGTGCTCTTCCAATACCAGAGTCCACATGATAACAAAGGTATCCCAACTGTAGCTGTGTACATGACAGGATGTATGATTACCTAGAAGAGCATCAGGACTGTTTTAGGCATATGATAGCTATGTGATTAACATGATGATTCAGCCTCTATGGAGATAGACATATGACAAGCATGATCATTTCTGACGTGGAGCTAATCTGAAGTAAACATTGAATACTGCTTTATATTCCTCCATCTTGTGACTGTGTAACTCCCTCTCTTGGATATCAGCATGTGAAGGACACTGTTCAGGAACTAGTTGATGCTCTGGATGTGATGACTACTTCCATTCTTGAGAGGATCAGAAATACATGGATTCTGAGATTGAAGCTCAAGCCGGGGACGAGTGATATTTTTCTAACACTCACACACTTACAGGAGGTGTGTAAAGAGCATCACTCCTACTCTTTCTTACCAGTCTTCCACGGTGACGGGAGGCTGAGCGTCCAACTGCTCGCTGGAGTAATCCTCCGCCAACAAGTCGATCACCTGCCTCTTTAGACACAGCCTAGGAAACACAGTTTTTAAGAAACAGGAAGATTTTACCTTGGGTTATCTTACATACATATACATTTGTAGATATGACTTATATCAGGGTTATCAGAATCTTTGGGGTTATAGTTCCGAAGTGGTTTTGTGTCCTTCTTTTAAAGCAGATAATACAAAATGCAGCTTATAAACACAGTACAAAAGTCCACATACTGTAAGG